CAGTGAAGCAACGTCCTCTACAACTAGACTGAAGAACAAAAGGACAGCAACTTGTCTGTTCCCCTTCCCCCAATTCCCCAGCACTGTTCCCATACCCCCAATTCCCCAATAAAAAATTTTTTAAATCTTTAAGAAAAAAAAAGTATGTGGCAAAATGTCTCCTGGATGTATCAAGTCTGAATGCCTTTGCAATAAATTACAGAATAGCTCTATAGATATTACTCATTTCTAGGTTACTTTGACAAATAATGTACTCAACTGCTTCTTATTCTGCAGGTACTAATTCCATAAAAACAGAAGAAAATGGTAATGTTCTTTAAGTCTCTGTAATAAATTTGGCATGGTGATAAACCTGAAATGTTAGCCCTGAAGTTAAATACAGATTCTTGAAAATTAACTCATTGTTTAAGAAGTATTTTGATTTTTAAGCAGGGCTTTAAGGTTAACACTATTTGTCTCTTCAATTTTGTTTGTTTGAAGTGCTACACTTACAAAACAAAACTTTCTAAAAAATCTCTCTGAAGCACTTATGCATAGAATAATTTTGTTCTTAAAAACGTGACCTAGAGGATAGAAAAGGGGCTTCTTAAGAAAGACAGCCTTGCATTTGAATCTAATCTCTGCCATTTGCTAACTCAGTAGGAATAAATACCTACCTTACAATGTTATTGTAAGAATTAAAGCAAATAATAGCTGTAAAACACCTAATACATAGTAGGTGCTTAATAAATGTTCAAGTTTCCTCCTGCTCCTTCCCTAGCGGGCAACCAATGGGGGTGAGCAAGCAACATGAGGAAAGGAAGAGGGAAGCCTCTTTTCTGAGGAAGTATGACTCTCATCAGAACCAAGGGTTATCATTTGAGAGCCATTAATGATGAGGCTTAGAACAATCATTTAGCTGTTCTCTTCTCAGACATACATGAAATTTTGGCTTATTTAAAAATTAAATATATTCACTTATTCCTCCAGAGGTCATAGGGTCATTACTACATCGTTTTCTACGCGGGGTCAGCAGAATTTCTGAAAAATATGGAAAACATTTAGCATAGTTAATTATCAATCTGAGTAATAGCACATCAATTTCAATAGTATGATATTTTCTTTTTTTACCCTTTTAATGGGAATCCTTAGGTGAATTAGGAAAAATTTTAAACTACCAGAGACTAAATCTACTCCCTGGATACATCTTAAATCACTGGTTGCTCAAAGACAGATTTTCTTTTCAATATTCTAGATCATAGTTCAGAAGGTATAGTCATAAGTACAGTTTTAAAGCTGCTGAGTTAATTACCTTTGTTACAGATAAGTGATTTCCTTAGTTCACTTTTATATCTGTCTTCAGCTTCCACAATGACCTTGTGACGATCACATTGGTATGGGCAAGAGTGCAAGAGCTTGCTAAAATTTCGGCTATTCAGAGATTTTCCTACTGCTATGCAACCTAAAAGAAAACAAATTAAAGTGCACAGATGTTACAAAATATCTAATAACAAATCTATGAAAGCAAATATCTTTATGATGGTAACTGAAGTGAAATCAGGAACTTAATTATAAATACATCAAGAACCTCAAAATCATGAGTGAGTAAAGACAACAAATACAGGGCCAGCCGAGTGGCGTGTTAGTTAAGAGCTGGCTTGGGACACCAGAGGGCCCTGGTTCGGATCCCACATGAGGGCCAGTGACACTGCCCTCTACAGCTAAGATGCTGAACAACAGCTCAACCTGGAGCTGAACTGCCGTGAGTCGCCTGCAACGGTGTAGGCTGCAGCCCCTGCTGCAGTGGGTTGCCATGGGCTACCGTGTGTAGCCAGCAGCCAGCGTGAGCGGCTAGTAGCCACTGTTAGAGGCCCTCCAGAAGCTGGCGACTGATCTGCCTCGCCCGAGAAGAGCACAATGATGGTGCCAACTTGGGCCAGTGAAGCAACATCTTGCACAATTAGACAGAAGAACAAAAGGACAGCAACTTGTCTATTCCCCTTCCCCCCAATTCCCCAGCGCTGTTCCCATCCCCCAGTTCCGCAATAAAAATCTTAAAAAAAAAAAAGACAACAAATACAATACAGTAAAATACATGTTGCAAAAGAAGTATGAGCAGAGTTATGGTGATATAGAAAAGGAGCATCTACTTCGGTCTTGTCTGAGCAGGAGTCACTGTTAAAGGAAGATATCCAAAAGAAGTGACACTTATGCCCAGCTGTGCTTTTAAATGTCTTACTATGGAAAATTTCAAACACAGGCAAGTGAAGATAAAAGTATAAAGAACTTCCACATGTCCATCATCCAACTTTAATAATTATTAACTCACGATCAGTCATATTTTATCTACACCCCACGTATTCTGCTCTGCCCACATGTACACACTAGATTATGAAGCCTGGAATTTGCATTGAAGTATTATTTCATCTGTAAATACTTCGTATGCATCACCAACAGATAAGGACTCTTTTTTAACACACAAAACTGCTCACATGGAAGAAAAGTATGCTTAATATGATCTAATATTCAGTCAGTGTTCAAATTTCTCCATCATTTCAAAACTTTCTTTTTAGTTGGTTTCTTTGAATCATGATCCAATGTCCACCATTACATTCAGTTGATATATCTCTTGAGTTTCTTTTAATCTATCAAGTATCCTCTCCTCCTTATCATTTACTGGGTCATTTTGGGGTTTCCCAAAAGCTGGGTTTTTCTGATTACATCTTAGTTGCATCCTTTAAAATGTTCCTGTGTGCCCAATAAACTAGTAGTTAGATCTATGATTGATGAGATTCAGATTCAATTGTTTTTAGAATTCCTCACAGATATTGTGTACTTCTTACTACATCACATTAAGAGGCACATAAAATTTATCTCTTTTTTTTTAAAGATTTTGTTGGGGAATTGGGGGAGGGGGCCAGCCAAGTTGTTGTTCTTCAATCTCCACTGTGGAAGGCACCATTTGCCATCTGGCTTCCTGGCGGCAGCTCGTGGCCTCTCAGCTCAAGGTGTTGTGTTCAATCTTAGTTGTGGGTGGGCGTAGCCACCATTCCATGTGGGAGTTGAACCAGCAGCCTTGTTGTTAAGAGCGCATGCCCTATCCACTGAGCCATCCAGGCAGCAGCTCAGCACAAGGTGCCAAGTTCAGTCTTAGTTGCGGGTGGACATAGCCACCATCCCATGCGGGAGTCGAACCAGCAGCCTTGTTGTTAAGAGCGCACGCCCTATCCACTGAGCCATCCGGGTGGCGGCTCAGTTCAAGGTGCGGAGTTAAGTCTCAGTTGCGGGTGGGCATAGCCTACTATCAAACAGGCAATCTTGTTGTTACACCAGCTGAGCCATCCTGCCACTTGTTGGCAGCTCAGTGGCAGCTCAGCTCCGGCACAGCGTCACTGGCCCATATGGGAATCAAACCGGCGGCCCCGCTGCTCAGAGCCCACGCTCTTAAGCCAACTCTTTACCAACTGAGCCGCTTGGCCAACTCCCCTTTCTTTTTTTTTTAATGTTAATATTGATCAGTAGGTTTAGGTAATGTTAGCCACATCCATCAATTATAAAGCTCTCCATCTGCCTGTCAGATGGTATTAGCCACCCATTCCTAAAGAACTAGGAGAATTTAGCCAGGTAGAAAGTTGGCTGGGATGAGGACATGTCTTGTACAGTGAACCCTTCCTTGTGCAAAAGCACAAAAGAGTGAAAAAGCATAATGTGTTTAGAGAATCAGGTACTTTGGTGTGGCTGTAGTATAAGGTATGAGAGAAGTGTGGGCAAGAAGTTGAGGCTGGTGAGGGTTGAAGGGGCAAGATTAGGAAGGGTCTCTGAAAGCCATGTCTACGATTTTTAACTCTCTTAAAGTCAATGGGGAGGAACTAAAAGATATTTATTAAGCAGGGAAATGTAATTTCATTTCTCTCATAGAAAGCTCAGCTGAAGATAAGAGGGTCATCAGTTGAGAGGTTACTTCAACAATCCAGAAAGCAAATGAGGGGATTCTGAAACAGCATTTGAGGGAGAATGCAGAGATTTCTGAGGTAAAATTGGTGAATAATGAGCTATTGGGGTCTAGGAGAAGTTTAGGATAATTCTCGACTAATTTGGTAGTTCACTGAATGACAAAGTTTGGAATAAACATGGCACATTTCTGACAGACTTAAAGAGAATAAATGTACAGTAAAATTTAATAAGGAGGACAAAATTCCACAAAATTCTGAGAGCCAGGTAGAGTTTGATTCAGTGAGTTATAGAGAAGCACTGAGGTTCTTTAGCATTGTGACATGATTTTTTTAAAAAGCACATATTAGGAAGAGAAGTTACCAATATATATATATTATAGTTGGGGGTTGGTGACTGGAGACTGAGGACTGCTAGAAAGTTCCTGAAGTAATGTAGGCATGAAGCAAAAAAGGAAAGAAAAAAAGAACCAGATATGAAAGACTAAAAATAAGGATGTAGGGAGAAATATTTATAGATGATTCAAGGTTTTAAATCTGGGAGGCCAGAAGAATAGTGGCAACTGATAGAAATGGAGTGGCTGGAAGAAGGGTAACTTAAGAGGGAGAAAGATGCTGTATTTTGAATACATTACGCTTGAAATAAAAACAAGATACTGAAGTATGTCCTAGGTACAGCTGGAAATAGAAGAATGGCGTTATAACCCAAAGTAGAAGCCAAGTGTAGAAATACAGATTTGAAAATCATCAGTAAAATGACAGTTGATGCCACAAAAGTAAATTTGCAACATAGTTGAGTGAGTGCTGTAGACTACAGCACTTGGGGTTGAATACCTGTAGAAATCTGGCAGGAAGAGAAAGATAAAGCAATAAAGGTGATAAAATAGAGTGGTTTTTAGACTGTACATGTCTTGAGGTAACGAATGAGTTCTATTCATCTATGATTCCAGTGCCTGCCATAGAATAAGCACTCCATAAGTGTCTGTGAAATGAATGAATCATCACTGAGGAAAGAAAGGAACTAAGAAAGAACCATCACAAAAAAACTAAGGGATAAAAGGGAGTTAACAGTTATAGGGCATCCACTCTGCTAACTGGAATACTTTTGATCAGAGGTTCCCAAGCTTTCTCACTTCATGGCACCCTTAAGATCTTGGTGACTTTTTACAGTGTCCCTAGGCCAAAAGAAACTCGAATCATTCTATTAGGTCCAAAACAACATAATAAGTACTTATGTTTTAACAATTTAGCAGCCATTTGAAAAAGTAAGACACCTAATTGAAGCAAAACATATGTGTATTTCATTCTTATTAATTTCAATTACATCCTAATGGGATGTGTGCACCTATTGGGTAAAGCACAACTTCTCAAATACTGGAATCAGAATGGGCACTGCCACCTTTATTTCCTATTTTACATTGATTTTCATGTGGTGTTTGATTTTTATCACAACAACCACTGATAATCCAGCTCCACAAAGACATGATATCATCAAAAGGAATGTAATGTTGAAACTATAAACTATTTTGAGTTGGTAGTTCATGCAATATCCAAAAGATGTAGACTATTTTGTGTTTCATTTATAAAATTTAAAATACTGTGTAGTGCCCTTGTGAATTTACTGCAGAGCCCCAGGGAGCCTGGGTGGACAGTTTGGGAACAGTGGCTTTAAACTACTGACAGGAGAGGATTTTAAGGAATGGTAGTGAACAGTGCAGGGATACTATAGGATAAGAATGTTTTTCAAAAGTCATTGGTTTGTGGGGGAGGGCGGGAGATGAGGCTTCAGGCTGCAGGTAATCTGTTAACATTAATGTTTAGTAAAAGGGCAATAAAAGAAGCCAGACTGCAGGGAGTTAGAAAGGGAATGAATACCCTGAAAGAGAAGGGAGCAAGAGCAGGAATCTGGTAATAAACGATGGGAGAAGAATAGGTGAACACTTGAAGCAATAGCAAATCACACAAAGTGTTTGGATTGTCTTTAAGATGGGGAGAAATTAACATAGTGTAAGGTAGTACAAAAGGAGTTAATGGATAAAAGAAGAATGAAGAGAAAGACTACACAAGTATTAAAATGGGAAGGAATAAAAAGAGATGGGTTTCAGACTATAGCTAGCTATCAGTTTTAGAATAATAAAATTAAATTCTACATCCAAGATTGAAAAATAGTGATAGTTTGAGCCTAATGTGGAATCATCTCAATTTTCTCCATAGAGCAGAGTGTGCAAATAAGAGTAAAGAGAAAATACCAGGGTATAAAGGAAAAGGGATGGAATAAACACCGTGGAACATTTACAAGAGCCCTGCAAAAAAAGTAAATAATGGGACATAGAACACTAGAAACATTTATATATTTACTATCAACATAAATTAGATATTATTTAATACTTAATGACTATAATGTGTAGAGCATAATCCTAAATACATATCTATTTATTGGCTCTCTGAAAATACTTTTAAAATGTTTACCTTAAGCAGTAAAATGAAACTTATAGATGGTACCACTTGTGACAAAAAGAGAATAATAAAATAATAAAAAAGTATTAGCTATGTTGATTCATATAAACTGGAGCACAGGATGATACAGAAAGAAGGCATTATTTTGAATGTTTTATGATACTCCATATTGTTATTTCTCCAAAGGAAATTTAGTTTAAATCACACAGGTAGAACTACAACAAATTCTAGTTAACTAATATCATACAAAACTTTAATGATGAAACTGTAATTAAAAATTTACCTGAACATCTATACTTGAACATTTTGGAACAATTGTCAGCTGATAGAAAATTGATGACTTCTTCATTTATTATATCTGAACATAATGTAAATGGATCTGAAAAAAATTGCAAAATCCAAGTTTTTTTGAATAATGAAAAGGACCTGATATTTACAAGATTTATTAATTATCAAGATTTTCATAAACTTTTGCCCAATACTACACATCCAGTCATCTTGATAAACAAAAAAGTTCTGGATATCAATAAAAGGCAACTGAGGCATTTATACCTCAAAGGGAGAGTCAAAGGCATGGCTTATATGTTAGAGGGCAGGTATACCAATGTACATTTTTAGCTATATTAGTCACCTAAATACCTGTTTTCTTGCAAAATCAAACAAGAAACATTTTTAATCATACCTGTTACTGGTAATTGCTGCCTTCTACTTTTGACAGTGGGATTTGGATGTTTAAAAACACGGTCACTAAAAGAAAATAGAAACCGGATTACTAAAAGTAAACATACTGTTTCGTGTGTTTACAAATGTTTCTGTAAGCAATGGTATGATTATGGCATTTGGCAGGCAGAAAGAGCCAGAGCCAGGATCTACCAAAATCTACCAATTTCTGCCAAAGTAGGGTCTGCTATAGTTATAACCTTGTTTCTAAAAGTGGAGTTATACCAGACTCCAGAGGGCAGTAATATTGATGCCAACAGAAACATAGAAGAAAAAGCTATCAAAAAGAAATATAGAAAGAAATGAGGGCAAAAAGGGGAAAAGAACAAAATCAGTGTGCCAGAGGGCAAAAGACTATGAGAGTATATCTCACTGCTTCTTAATTCCGTATCTCTGAGAAATCAATTAAAATTAACATCAACAATAGTTCTGAAAAGTAAAAAGGGGGTGGTAATGATGTAATCCATCTTTCTAATACTATTTCCCAGAAAATAGTAGCATCCTCTTAAAGTTTCCCTCCTGGCACAGTAGCCATCAGAAGAGCAAAACACAGAGTTTAAGAAGAAAAGCTATAATCTCAGGTCCAGCCCCACAGGCTAACAGCAAAGTAGAAAGGACACCGAGGTGAGGTGCAGGAAACAAATGAAAAGGCAAACCTAAACCAGATTTTTGTCACACCTTACTCTTTTACCAAATTAAACTTACAAACTAGCTTTTGCTACATTGTTGATGGATTATCAATGCATACCTTCAGGTATAGCGGTTCAGTTTCAGTTTTCTGAGTATCCTTTCTAAAACTCAAATCTGACCATGCCACTCAATTTAAAGTCATCAATGACTCCCTACACCCTGTGAGTTAAAACCAAAAATCCTGAGTATAACATGCAAGGCCCTAGATAAACTAGCCCATACTTCCCAGTCCAAACTCCTTTCCCAGCATTCCCTACTTTAGGCTCCTCCAGACCATATGTTATCATTTCTATATACCAGTGCTTAATAGTGTGGCACACAGTACTGCATAAAAAATAACTGCTGAATAAATAAAAATTAGAAACAATTATTAAACTATACCTTGATTGAGAAACAATTTTTTTTCCCCCAAAAGTTGTTTCTTCATGTAAGTTTTGATTGCAGCTTGCACTGGCTTTACATAAAGTCTCATTTTGCCCACTCTTCCTATAACAAGCATTTACTGGATTTGCACTCTTTAACAGGGTCTTCATTTGGTCATCATTTGCACATGCGTTAGACATGAATCCATGGGACTTATAACTCTGAAGATTTCTAGACTGGCTTTTATCATCTTCTGCTTTGGGACCTTCACCAATACTATCTGCATGGAGGTGTTTCAATGTATTTTGAATATTTATGTTCATAGATGAAACATTATCCTTATATTTTTCTCTTTGTATATTTTCCTATAATGTAAAAACGATAAGTAAATAAATTCAAGATAATCCATTTGCTTTATAATTCAATCTACACTCCCTTTAATGCAGAAAAGTTTATGATTGTCAATAGAATATACATGATAAAAGGAGTTTACATTAGAAAGAAAAGGGAGTTTATTCAAAAAATGATTTGGGGACAACTGGGTAGCCATCTAGAGAAAAACTGAATTCGATCCATATCTTACAATTTACACTAAAATAAAGTCAAAATTAAATAATGAAATATAAAAAATGAAATTATATATGTTCTAAAAGAAAACATGGCATTTTAATATTCTCAAAGGGAGGAAGACCTTTCCAACTATTACACAAAATCAATAAATTGTAAAAGGAAAAAACTAATATATTTTACCGCAGAAAATTTTTTTTACAGTTATGCTAGAGATCAAGAATAATACTATAAGGGTGGAAAAAGAGAAGCAAAACCAAATGATAATCAAAACACCTAGAAAGAATATACATAAAGTCATATCTTGGGCTACAGTATAATTTTTCTAATGCTTCCCAAATGCTACTATAATGAAATAAAGTGCTCCATCCCACTTATAATAAGAGAAATGAACATTAAAGCTACACTGAGATATCTTTCTTCATCTATGACATTGGCAAAGATCAAAAGGGTATAGAGAAACATTCTCTCATACATTACAAGTGGGAGAGTAAATTGGTAAAACCTCTATAGAGAAACAATTTGATATTATCTTTCATAATAAAAACTGCATATCTATAGATACTTTTACATGTACAAAATGTTAATGTTATTATCTGCAGCATTGTTGGTAATAAAATTGGAAATAACCTGAATGTTCATCAGAAAGGGAGCTAGCATATCCATCAATGGGCTACTCTGAAATTGTAAAAAAAAAAAAAAAAAAATAGGACTTCCATGTAAAAATAATGAATTTAACACCCATATTTATTTTTGATCCTTCCAAAAAACCAATTAGAACAACAATTCTTAAAAAAGGCACAAACCCACAAGGACAGGAGAACTGGAAGAAGATATAAAGGTAACAAAACTTTGGAAATTGGAAAGCAGGTAGGTGAATGAGAACATACTTAGCAGACTTTATAAACCTGAATCCAAAGCTAACAATGGGAAAAGAAACTACCTAAGATACGCTACCAAACTCTCAAAAGGCTTAGGAATTGGAGGTACCAGGAACTCTAGAAGGTGGGGTTGAAAACAGGAAGATTAGACGCAAGTTTGTTTAACAAATAATTGGATTACTAGATCCCAAGCCTCCACATACACACACTTAGCAGGCAGTTGACAGACACCAGGAGGTCCCCTCCCTCCCCAAGGCTGGATATTTAATCTCTGGAGGGGATAAAAAACAGAGTCTCCACATTTGGAGGGCTCCAAGAAAAGCTGAAGGCAGAATATTATTCAAGAAACAGACTAAGAAAATATTTACATACTGAATACTAAGACCCCAAAGCTCTCTTCCCCCATTTTGATTCCAGAACCCTGGTTTACCACCTCTACGCAGATTAGACATTGGAAGGTCTTCAAAAACAATGACCCACTTAATAAACCCTACAAGAATCTGCAGCCAAAAAATTTCCAAGAAAACTTTTAGCATCTGACTTTTAAATATAAGTAGCAACCAAAGACCACCAAAAAGCTGAATAAAGACAGAGACCAAAAAAAAACCAAACAAACAAACAAAAACCTCAGAGCAGAAAGAAGTAGGAAGGGAAAACAAAATGATAAAAATGAAAGAGATATGAAGTGAAATAAGAAAAATATTTAATATAAGAATGCCAATAAAGTTTTAAGGCCATGAAATAAGTATAATTTAAAGGGAATAAAAAAAAAAGAGGCTTTGGTAACTAAAAATATTATAGAAGTAAAAAATTTAATAGATTAGTTTTAAAAGTAAATTTGAGAACATTTCCCAAAATGTAGAATAAAAAAAGACAAAGAGGAAAATAAGAGAAAAATTATGAGGAGGACCAGCTCAAGAAGTCCAACAAATAAGCAATAGGAGTTTCAATAAAGGAGTAAAGAGAAAACAGGGAAGTAAGCATCACAGCATAATGCAAGAAAGTTTCCTAGAACTGAAGGACACCAGTTACCAAATTGAAAGAGCCCACTAAGTGTTCAACACAATGAATGAAAAGAGACTGACATCAAAATACCTCACTGTGAAATTTCAAAACATTGGGGATAAAGACTATGTAAGCTTCCAAAAGGACAAAACAGTTACACTAAAAGTTCAGAATGGCTTTGGGCCTCAAGAGTAACCCTGGAAGCTACAAAACTATGGAACAGCATGTTCTGAGGGAAGGTGATTTCCAATCTAGAATGCTTTGTCAGCCAAACTATTAATTCTGAAGGCAAAACAAAAATATTTTCAGATTTATAAAGACTCAAAAAATTTACATCCTATGAACACTTTTCTCAGAAAGCTACAGAAGAATGTAGCTTTCTCTATCAAAATGAGAGACTAAACCAAAAAAAGAAAAGGATCACATGGGATAAAGGAAACGAGCAATCAGACCAGGAAGGATACAAAGAGACTCTATAGAATGATGGTAAAGGTGTATCCCAGAATAACAGTTGTGTACCTGGCGTAAAGGGTATACCAGTTATTAATTTATTGGTCCTCAACTCCAAGTCAATCTTTCTTTGCCCTGCATTGTAAAACTGAAACTAAACTCTACAGACCACTAATTCATGGCTAGCTTGATGTTAGGCTCTGCCATTGGAAAGTGCTAGAGGGACAATACAATGATAGAAAAGAAAAAAGGGGCTTTTTCTTCTTTTGGTGTTCTTTTGGCAAGTGGAGGCAGACTGGCACTATAAAAGAGGTTCATAATTTCTTTAAAGTATAATTGCCCAGTGATTCCATTCCTAGGTATTTACCCAAGATAAATGAAAATGTACACTTCACACAAAAAAGCAAACACCAATGTTCATAGCTTGCCAAGATCTGGGAGCAATTCAAATGTCATCAACTGACGAATAAATAAGTTGTGGTATGTTCATACTATGAAATGTTACTCACCAATAAAAAGGAACAAAACATTAACAAAACAACATTGGTGAAAATCAAAAACATTACATATTATGTGAAATAAGTCAACCATAAAAACATTATGTAATATACACATATGATTCCATTTATGTGAAATTATAGAAAAGGAAAACTAGTGACAGAGAGCAGATCAATGATTGCCTGGGCCTGAGTGGGCAAATGGGACTGTCTGCAAAGGGACACAGGAAACATTTTAGGGTGAGTGAAATAGTCTATATTCTGACTGCCATAATAGTTACAACACTGTATAAAACTGTCAAACTATATTTAAAATGTGTGATTATCACTGTATGTAAATAATATCTTAATAAAAATAGTTCAGAAAAAAATAATTGTTTAAAGCGAAAATAATAACATTACTGGGCAGTTTATAAAAATATAGCAGTAAAATGTATGGCAACAATAGTGAAAAAGAACAAAGGGAAATGTAAGCATATTACTGTAAGGGTCTTACAATTATATGAGTGGAATATATTATTTGAATATAGACCATATTATAAACCCTAAAGCAATCACTAAAAAAGAAAACCCAAGAATGTTTAGCCAATAATCCAAGATGAGATATAACAGAATATTTTAAAATAATATAAAAGAAGGCAGAAGAGTAGAAAACAGGAACAAAGAACAAATGGGAAAAATAGGAAACAAACAGCAATATAATAGACTTAAACTCAAACATATCAATAATTACATGAAATGTAAATGAAGTGATCACATAAATTAAAAGGAAGGCATTGTCAGACAGGATAAAAAAGACCAAACTATATGCTCTCTATAAGAAATCGATGCTAACTATAAAGACATAAGTTACAAGTAAAAGAATATGTTCAACTGATAAATGGATGAACAAAATGTGGTATATCCATATAATAGAGAATTATTTGGCCATAAAAAGAAATTAAGTACTGATACATGCTAAAACATGAATGAGACTTGAAAACATTATACTAAGAAAAATAAGCCAGTCACAAAAGACCACATATTACATGATAACAGTCACATGAAAAGTTCAAAATAGGCAAATCTATAGCTATAGAAAGTAGACTAGTGGTTGCTTGTGGCTTGGGATGAAGGATGCAGGGAAATAGCTATATATTTAGAATATTTGAAAATATTGTAAATTTGACTGTAGAAATGACTGCACATATCTGTGAATATACTAAACCCTACTGAATTGTATACTTTAAATGAGTGAATTGTATGGCATGTGAATTACATGTCAATAAAGCTATTTTTAAAAAAGGAATGAAGTACTTATACATATTACAACATGGCTAAACCCTGAAAACATTATGTTAAATGAAAGAAGCCAGTCACAAAAGACTATATATGATACGACTCAATTTATATAAAAAGACCAGAATAGGCAAATATATAGATAGAAAATAGATAAGCAGTTGCCTAGCCTGGCGGGGAGAGAATGGAAGGAAGGATAGGGAGGGTGACTGCTAAAGGGTATAGGATTTCTTTCTGAGGTGATGAAATGTTGTAAAATTGATTGCACAATGCTGTGAGTATACTAAAAACCAATGAAATGTGTACTTTAAATGGATCAATTGTATGGAGTGTGATTTATTATCTCAATAAGCTGTTACAAAATGTGTGTGTGTGTGTGTGTGTGTGTGTGTGTGTGTAGCAAGATTTGTTTACACAGATGAGAAACTAAATATAATATAAATGTCCATCAATAAAGACTAGTCAAATCAATTATGGTAATCTATGATATTGACTACTACTCAATCATTTAAAAGAATGAAAGTACTACACTATACTAAGTTGAACACTATGTTATTTTTAAAAATGTATACACATACAAAGACACAAAGCATATAGAAAAATGTGAAAATATGTGTATGTGTATATATATACACACATATATGCATACACAGAGAGAAAGAAACATTATTTCTCCTTCCTTTCTTTGTCTTGAACCCTTATTATATAAATGTTAGCTCTCTTTTGGCTCTCTCTTCCATGTCTCATTTTTTTTCAGTTTTCATTTCCACTTTTAAAACATCTTGTTTTCTATGTTCAAGGACAATTTCTCAAGTATTACTATTGAATTTTGAATTTAAAACCATTAAAATTTTTAAAAATAAGTTGGCAAGAAAAATTTTTACTGTTCAACCTCTATTTCTAAAGAATATTTGAAAAAAGTTGTATATTCTTTGAAACAAAGAAGCCAACCTCATTTCCTTCTGCTTCAAACTGTTCTATTCTGTGAAGAATTTCCTTTGCTTTCTTCCAGTACTCTTCAATAGTCTTCTCTTTCATACTTATGTCCTTCAGTTGTTCTGCTTCATTTTCATCAAAAGAATATTCTCTTAGAGATAAATTCTCAGCTTTTAATATGGGAGAAAAATAGTGAGTTTATCCATTACTAGAAATGTTATTTTAACTTTATAAATAAGGAAGGCCTCATACCCCACACTCCCTTCTCTAAATTTTGCCCATCTAGACTATCTCAACTGCCCAATTGGTACTGAAAATAAGTGGAAAGCAAGTGCTTAGCAGATGCTCAGGACCCAGAGTCATAAAATAGACTTTATTCTTCAGAGTTACAGGAAAAAAAATAGCATGAAAATATGTTATGCCAGGCACATAAACACCCTCAGGTTTAGGGATACTGGTTTTAAAGTAGTTTTAAAAAAAAAACAACAATTTTCATCAAGTAGTTCTTTCCTATAATCTTTTAAATTCTCTTTTCACATGTGGTAGCAGCAATTTTTCTTACACAAAATCCTTTTCATAGCTACTGCCCTCTGTGCTCCAGCTACAATGGCTATCAATTCCTTCAATACACCAGGCTCCCTCCTATCACACGGCCTTTGTGCCTCACTGTTGCTTATGCCTGAGACACTGGCCCATAACAAATTCCCTTCTTTTCACCTAATTAACTCTATACACCCAGATCTCAGCTCAAGAACCATTTCCTTCCAAAGCCTTTTCTGCTCCAAGTCTAGGTCACAGTCCTTTGTTACAGGCTCTCTAAGATCTGTGCTCCATCCATTCTAAACCCTTATGTTAATTTATAATAAAACATTAATTTTTGAGACTATTAAATTACTATCTATTTCTCCAATTAAACTAAGCTCATATCTATGAGTGCACAGACTGTTTCTTTTTTTTTTTTTTTAAAGAATAAAATGTATGTATTATTCATTCTGCTGAAAAATTCCGACCACTAAGAATCATGTCTTTTGGATTAATCCTATTAAGAACATTAATTTGCATACAACACATAGTTTCCTAAACACAATAGATGAATTATTTTACATATACATTTTTTTTCACAGACTGTTTCTTATCACTACATCCCTAGTGCCTAGCAAATAATAGGCGCTCAACATTTTTTAAATAATGTACTTCATAGTGACTTAATCATAAGTCTTCTATAGCTCTCAAATTTAAGTCCTACAACTAAAATTGTCCACATTGCTTAAAATTAGTGCATTATCTATACCGTTGCTCTCTTCCATATAGATTTTTTTATATGCTGAAATACTCTAGTTGTAGTGTTCAAATTACAGACTCTGTTTTTCAAATGTAAGAAGAACCTGGGAGCTAAAGAGGCTTTACTCAGCAAAGCAAATATAAATTACCCTTCATAAACTTTGGTTGGTTTTTTTTTTTAAGTAACAGTAAACTTACTAATTTTTTTGCAGTTGTAAAGCACAAAAGTGGCAGCTTTGTTTAGTTCCTCATTCTGATGTTCAGTTAAGGCTTGTATCAGGAGTGGAAGCCCATTGTTTTTAAAAAGGTCATACAGATTTTCCTCTGGAAAACACATCAAAAAATTAAAGTAGAACATAGTTATTTTATCATAAACTATTTGCATGAGGTCATAATTCTTCCTGGTGATAATTATGAACATAGTTCAAATTTAAAATTAGGGAAAAACATAAATATTTCAAAAGCATTTTGTCAATTTAGAAAATAATTATCTCACATGTACCTAAGTCTCATAAGTGATGATCTCTGAAATAAAGCCATACTAGTATCATACCTCATAAGTATAAACAAAGGCCCTCACTTGGTTTTAAAAAAAGGTATAATTGGGGCCGGCCGAGTGGCGCAATGGTTAAGAACTGGCTTTGGATGCCAAGGGGCCCCGGTTCGGATCCCACATATGAGGGCCAGTGACACTGCCTTCTACAGCTAAGATGAACAACAGCTCAACCTGGAGCTGGGCTGCCGTGAGTCCTGGAGCTGGGCTGCCATGAGTTGCCGGTGATGGCACAGGCTGCAGCCCCTGTGGCAGTGGGTTACCATGGGCTACCGTATGTAGCCAGCAGCCAGCGTGAGCGGCCAGCAGCCGCAGTGAGCGGCCATCCAGAAGCCGGCGACTGGAGCTGAGCTGCCATGAGTTGCCGGCGATGGCTAGGCTGCAGCCCCTGTGGCAGTGGGTTACCATGGGCTACTGTATGTAGCCAGCAGCCAGCGTGAGCGGCCAGCAGCCGCAGTGAGCGGCCCTCCAGAAGCCGGCGACTGATCTGCCTCTTCCAGGAAGAGCGCAATGATGGTACCAACTTGGGCCAGTGAAGCAACATCCTCCACAACTAGACTGCAGAACAAAACGACAGCAACTTGTCTGTTCCCCTTCCCCCAATTCCCCAGCACTGTTCCCTTCCCCCCAATACTCCAATAAAAATCTTTAAAAAAAAAGGTATAGTTGTCAATCAAACCTCAATAAAAAAATAAAAATTTTAAAAGGTATACTAAATCCTAAATTATACAGAAGACACAGAATAGAAAAATAAACTAATAAAGAAAATGAAAATGAGGGAAGGAAGAGAGAGTAGAAGAAACAAGAGAGAGCAAACAGAGGAGAGTGGACAAGTGGGAGGGGGAGAGAGGACTGAAAAAGAAGGGAGAGAGGAAAGTGAAGAGAATTGGAAAGAAAAAGAAGAGTGGACAGAGGGGGAATGGCAGGAGAGTGGAGCGAGGGAGGGGGAGAAAAACAGAGAGAGGGGAGAATGATAGGTAGAAAAAGATAGAACTTTTGAAGGTTTTAGCAAAGGAGAACAGGATTAGACTGTGTGCAGCAGTGTGAGGAGTGGATTGAAAAATGGAGATAGAAGGAACACTGGGAGAAATCTATTGCATATTGATGAAAGATGTTGAGGAGCTATGGGCCTAAATTAAGAGGGTAGCACTGGAATTGGGCAGAAAGGGATAAGGAGGGGTAAACGCTAGTAGAACCACAGGTCTTAGGGACTGACTAAATACAATGGATTAAGAAGGATGAGGAGCAAAATGACTTGTTTGGGACCTGAAACACTAGGAGAAAGGCAATATTTTTAAGCTTTTTATATGAGTAGGAGGGAAAAAACAAAAGTGTATTTCCACTCCGCTATTTTAATAAGCACACTAAATAAATCCAATATTTACCACACGCCTCTGTGCAATGACCAAGAGTAAGAATGATGCCCAATTTTTCTTCTGAATCCAGACTTTCATGAATCAGTAATGCCAGAAGTTTTGAAACAATATGGTACTTGGATAGTACTTCCCCAAAAGTAGCTATTAGTATAAAATAGGAAAAAAGAGAGTAAATACAAACTTAAAACTTATAATTATATATATATTATTTCTCATATCTTACATATACTATTTTTCAGATCTTATCTTTGGAGAATGACATATATATAATAACAACTAATATTTATATCTACTTTTTATATGTGTATATATGTGCGAATATAAATAAATGCATTGTAATAAGATGGTGGCTTATCTAGCCCTCATTAATCCCTCTTCTCATATTAAAGATATTTTACTAAAGCAAAATTTTTGAAGAATGGTTTCTTCTTAATTGTCCTGTATACTATTGGTAATATGAAGCAATAATGATACTAAAAGCCAAATATGCTTACTCTCACCTACTACATCTCTTCTTATCTAGACAGTCAAGACCTTCCTATGTCATCAATTCCTGCCTGTCAATGAAATACACTAACTGGCCATGGTTCTACCGATGTTAATGATGCAGTGAAGCATACCTACAGCTATGCTGAGATGTGACAAAATTCAAGAAGTCTGCCATTTTAAGCTATACTTCTCCTCATAGGGTTTTTAACAGAGTTCACCCAGAGTCTAACAATATTTAATCAACAATAAGGTTGTAAATTCCTCAAGGGACTGTATCTTAGTCATCTTTGTATCTCTAGAGCTCACATGGAGCCCAACACATAGCAGGCCCTCAATAACTGATTTTTTTTTAAATCATCTACTTATTTTTCAGTTATTTGTGAATGTTAAGAGTTGCTTATTACAAAGATTTATAGACTATCATTCCTCAGTGTTTGTACATGTGAGAAGCAGCCATGGGTTTAAGTCTGGTTCTATCACTCACTAGTTATGGCTGGGTAAATCAGACCTCACACTTATCAGAAAGAGGCATACCTTAATTCTTTACATAATTTTTTAAAAATCTATAAATAGGGTTTCCCATTCCTTGTCTCCAAAATGTCCCTTGATTGTCTCATCTCAACTCTAATTTAATGACACATTTTAAGTGAAACAAAAGTTTAAGAATGATAAAATCGATCATCTATTATTAGACTTGAAATTAGAAGACCTAGATTTTGAACCCTTAGAGAAGTTATCACCTCATGGGAAAATAAGGAATTAGACTAGATCATTTCTAAGATTTCCTCCCACTTGTGAAAAACTGTAAGTCCAATCTATGTTAGTGCTCGAGGTATCATTTAAAAATTCACCATGTTGAATTCAAACAAAATGCAACTGTAGAAAAATTACTAAGCATTTTCACTCACGATTATCAGCAATACACGCATCCACTGTCTTTATCACCACCACTGCAAGCTTAGCACTGGAAAGAGTCTTGCGTGAATCAGATTCCAGTTGCACAAGAACTTGAGACAGTACATCCAGTCCACCCACAGATACAAAGTATTTCTGAACATATGCTTAAGGAATAAAATAGCAGAACTCTTAATACTTCAAACAAGACAACTGCATGGTTTCATTCAATTAATTTACAGTAAATATAACATTACCTTGACTTGTTCAAACAGTCATCCCTCGGTATCCACAGGGTATTGGTTCTGAGACTTCCTCTCATCCTCCCCCATAGATACTAAATTCCGAGGATGCTCAAGTTTCTTACATAACATGGCATAGTATTTCCATATAACTCATGCACATCCTCCCATATACTTCAAATAATCTCTAGATTACTTATAATACCTAATACAACATAAATGCTTTGTAAATAGTTATTATACTGTATTGTTTAGGGAATAGAAAGGAATTAAAGCCTGTAAATATTCAGTACAGATGCAACCATCATAGACCTAGCTACATAGTACACGTCAGCAACAAAATTTTTGCTTTTTTAATATTTTGAGTCGGGGTTGGTTGAACCTGCAAAAGCAGAAACCACGGATACAGGGGCCAACTGTACTTACTAAAAATCCCAAAATTAAAGAATGAAAAAGCCAATCTTTACTGTGCATATGCATAACCATAACATAGATTACTTCCTTACGTAAGAAACTCACTTTTACATAGTACATGTATAGTGCAATATTTCTTTCTTGTGTGTTAAATAGCTTTTTTTTTTCCTTTAGCAAGAACTGGTGATTTTGCAAGAATAGCATTATTAAACTCAAATTCTTCAACAGAGCTATAAAGAATAGATTCAGTCATCTAGCTTGGAACTGCAATTAGCAAGCTGCCTATTTTCTGAATTCCAACATAAGTCATTCCTCAGGTTGCTTTAATCTACAAAAGGCAAAGTAATTTAAGTGTTCCAAAAGGACACCTGTTTTGGACCAGCCGAGTGGCGCGATGGTTGAGAACTGGCTTTGGACGCCAGGGGACCCCGGTTCGGAACCCACATATAAGGGCCGGTGACACTGCCCTCTACAACTAAGATGCTGAACTCCAGCTCAACCTGGAGCTGGGCTGCCATGAGTCGCCGGCGACGGCGTAGGCTGCAGCCCCTGTGGCAGTGGGTTGCCATGGGCTACCATATGTAGCCAGCAGCCGCAGTGGGCAGCTGTCCAGAAGCCGGGGACTGATCTGCTTCGCCCGGGAAGAGCGCAATGATGGTGCCAACTTGGGTCAGTGAAGCAACGTCCTCCACAACTGGACTGAAGAACGAAACGACAGCAACTTGTCTGTTCCCCTTCCCCCAATTCCCCAGCACTGTTCCCATTCCCCCAACTCCCCCAATAAAATAAAATAAAATAAAATAAAAAAAAGAACACCTGTTTCATCCATCTTATTTAAGCCTAATTCTTTTACTTTTTGGAGCATAAAACTGAAACATATTGAGAGTCATGACAACTATTCCAAGCAAAGATTCAACAACAGATACATTTTTTTTTAGAAGTCTGAATTCTTTTGTTGTCCTGTTGAAAATTATTCTGAAGGGAAAGTATCCCATGAGTTCTGTGCATTCAATAGTCTCTACAGTCCCTATCCCAGCAATGGTCTTATTGCAAATCGTTATATAAGCTAGTGATCATAATTCTGCTACAAACATTCTGCCCAGTCTACTCTAGTACCACAAATTGAGCCAAAATGATTTAAACTCAAAAATTACTTTTTGTATTGTTCCATAAAACAAAAATCTGAATTAAAAAAAAAATCAGAATTTTCTACCATCAGGAAAAGGAACTGTTAGGAAATGTCATTTAAGGATAACCAACCATTTTCAATATTAGGGAGACTCCAAAACAGGCTTCTTTACTACAAAGTATTTTCATTTAAAAAACTTGACAAAAGGAAATATTGTTAAATGCTTAGATAAAAATGCCACTGTTACTACAAAGATTTTTAGTTATAGCCTAAATAATGAAAATTCAAGCTTATAAACAGAAGAACATCCTAGTCTACACTATAAATATTTCAAATCTCCTCTAATTTACACTATATTTTATGCCAGTTTGCTGAGTAATTAGGTCCTATAACTATTACTCATCCACCTTTGCTTTTAGAGTAAGAGGAAACATCAAAGCATCATCAAAATAGATTCCCAATTTTGGAATTGTAGAGATGTTTCTTTGTATGTGAAACATGACTATTTTGATGACTAATGAGTATGAGCATCTTTTCAAGTGTTTTGTTTTTTTTAATATTCAAATCTTCGGTGAAGATCTATCCAAATCTTGCCTATTTTTTAATCATTGGGTTGTTTCTTGTCTTATTGATTTGTAAGAGTTCCTTATATAGTCTGGGTTCTTTATATATTCTTTATATAGTCTTTTTTTTTAGCTGAGCCATCCTGCCTCCTGTTGGCAGCTCAGCGGCAGCTCAGCTCGGGCCAAGAATTGAATGCTGTTGCTCAGAGCTTGCACTCTTGAGCAAGCTCTTAACCAGCTAAGTCACTTGGCCGGCCCCTGGGTACAGTTCTTTATCAGCACATTTCACATATATTTTCTCCCAATCTCTGGTTTGCTTTTTCAACTTAACAGATCTTTTGAAGAGCAAAAGATTTTCATTTCAGTGAAATCCAATTTATCACTTTTCTTTAGTGGCTCATGCTTTTTGTGTCCTAAGAAATTTTTGTCTACTCCCAAATTGCTCCTATTTATTATATGTTTTTGTCTAGAAGTTTAATAATTATAGTTCTTACATTTAGGTCGATAGATCATGTCAAGTTAATTCTTATACTGTGTAAGACAGGGTTGAGATTCATATTTTACATATAGATGTCTACTTTTTCCAGCACCATTTGTTGAAAAGACTGTCCTTTCCCTTGTGGAATTATTATGGCACCTTTGTAGAAAATCAACAACTATATACATATGGGCCTAGTTCTGGGCTCTTTAGTTTGTTCCATTGATCTGTCTATATACTTACAACAATGCCACACTTTCTTGCTTACTGTATAAGAAGTATTAAAACTAGGTAATATAAATCTTACAATTTTGTCCTTTTTTAAAAGTTTTGCCTATCCTAGTCCCTTTGCATTTCCATGTAAAGTTTAGAATCAGCTTATCAATTTCTACAGAAAAGCCTCCTGGGATTTTGATGGGGAGTGCCATGAATCTAGAGATGAATTTGAGAAGTGACATTCAAACGAATTAAGTCTTACAATCCATGAGTATGATATATCTCCCATTAATATAGGTTTTCTTTAGTTTATCCCAGCAATGTTTTATGGTTTTCAGCACACAGACATTGCACATACTTCATTAAATTTACCCCTATTTAATTTTTTGATATTGCCAATTGTTTGCTTCTAGTATACAGAAATACAATTGATTTCTGTATATGACCTATATCCTGCAACTCTGGAAAAACCACTTATCAGTTCTAGCAGTTTTTGTAGATTATTCGGACAATCACATCATCTATGAATAAATATGGTATTTTCTTCTTCCTTTTAGATCTCTATGCCTTTATTGTTTATTATTTGTTGCCTTACTGCACTGGCTTGGACACCCAGTAAAATGTTAAAGTAGTCAGAGTGGCCATTCTTTTTTCCAATTTTAAAGGAAAAGCATTAAGTCTTTCACCATTAAGCATGCTAGCTATAGTATTTTATAAAGGCCCTTTACCACACTGAGAAAGTTCTATTCTTAGTTTACCAAAAGATTTTGTCATGAATGTGTGTTGAATTACGTGGAAAGCTTTTCTACATCTTTTTAAATTATTTTATAGTTTTTCTTTTCTAATTTGTGAATATGGTGAATTTTCTAATATTAACCAATCTTGCACAACTAGGATAAATGCCACTTGGTCATAATATATTATTACCCTTTCTATATATTTAAGATTTGATGTGTTATTATTTTGTTAAGAATGTTTACATCTATGTTCCTAAAGGATACTGGCCTTTAGTTTTTGTGTAATGCCTTTTTCATGTTTTATATGGAAATAATGCTGGCCTTATAAAATGTTGGGAAGTGTTTCTTCCACTTCTATCTCCTGGAATAATTCATGCAAAATTTTTTTTTCCTTAAATATTTGGTAGAATTCACCAGTGAAACCATTAGGGCCTGAAATTTCCTCTGAATTAAGGTTTTAAACTAAAATTTTGATTTCTTTACAAGATATAGGAATGTTCAAGTTATATATTTCTTAATTTTTAGTAGTTCGTGTCTTTCAAAGAATGTGTCCAATTCATGTAAGTTGTCAAATTTAGTGGCATACAGTTGTTTCTACTATTCCTTTATTACCTTTTCCATATCTGTTAAGATCTATAGTGATATCACCTCTAATTCCTAATATTGGTAATTTGGGCCTTTCCTATTTCATGGCTAGTCTAGCTTAAGGATCCATATTATTGATCTTTTCAAAGAACTAACTTTGGGTTTCATTGATCTTTATTCTGTTGTTTTTCTATTTCATTGGTTTCTGGCCTTTATAATTTCTTTCATTATGCTTACTTTGAATTTAACTTGCTTTGTTTTCTAGTTTCTCAGGTGGAAACTAAAATAATTAATCTGAAACTTCTCTTCTTTCCTTATGCAAGCCTTAATGCTATACATATCTTCGTAAACATTGCTTTTGCAGCAACCCACAGTTTGTTTGCTTTTTTAAGAATTTTATTGGGGAATTGGGGAAGGGAAACAGTGTTGGGGAATTGGGGAAGGGGAACAGCTAAGTTGTTGTCCTTCAATTTTAGTTGCGGAGGATGCAGCTAGCTCAGCTCCCAAGTCCAGTCGCCAACCAGCCACCCATTGGCAGCTCAGCGGCAGCTCACTGGCCCATGTGGGAATCGAACTGGCAACCCTGTTGCTCAGCGCTCATGCTCTTAACCAACTGAGCCAGTCGGCCAACCCAACCCACAGTTTTCAATATTGTGTTTTTCAGTTGTGTCATTCTTTTAAAACATTTCTAATTTCCTTTATTATTTAGTCTTTGACTCAAAGGTTTGTGGGGGTTTTTTTTGCTTTGGTTTGATTTCCTTTTAGTACTGAGTTGTTTAATTTCCAGATATTTGGGATTTTTCTACATGTTTTATTTTTATTCATTTCTAATTTAATTCTATGTGGTCAGAGAATACATTCTGTGGGCTTTTTCTTTTGCTGTCTGGTTCTGTTTTGTGAATGTATCTGGGGAGATTCAAAACTATGCTGTGTTGATCAGCTTCCCAATATCTTCCTAACAGCATCTACTTTCAAGATTTTTCCTTATGCAATAGTCTAAGTGCATCCAAAATGATCCAACTTACTGGAATAAAATTAATCTATTAATTCAACAGGTTTTTATTATGCTTTGAAATAAGTTTCTTCAAGTATAACCTAGAAAATAATGAATACTTACTATTATTTGCAAGAGTCAGTCCAATAAATGAACAAATAGGGCGAATTATCTCAGGTTTTATGCAATTTACTAACCAGTCATTTGCATGTGGAAAAAGTGAAGAGCAAAGCATTTGATTTTCATCTGAAAGGAGACAAAGTCAATCATGTTTTAATACATTTGGAAAATGTCAATTTTTGTTTTAAAAAATTTTTATCTTTAACTATTTGAGATAATTACCATTTTGAGGATTGTTGACACAGACACACAAAGTGCTACACACTGAAGACCACAACTGATAACTCTGGAAAACATTTTTATCTGACAAATTCAACTCATATTTTGAAAGAACTATCCTATTAGAGTAAAAAGAAAAGGAAGTAAATTAATACAAATGCGTTAAGGTCATAAGTAATAAATAATTAATAACAAGAAATTTATATTTGCTTACCTGAACAAATGTGACAGAACTTTAATACAACCTGTTTCTCTCACAAGCGTTTGTCCAATCCCTTAAAAGAATAGCCATATATTACACGAATATGACGGTTGTTTAGAAATAATTTTGCAGGAATGGAAACCATTAAAGTCATACTTATAATAAATAACTTTTAATCACTTTAAAGTATAACACAGAATTACAGTAGATAAAAATCTGTAATCAAGATTATGGAAAATAGATGATGTCATTAGCTATAAATAACCAAATATTTGCAAAAAGGCCTTTTAAAAAGATTATGGAAAATATATTACTTATGCTTAGAATATGACCACTCAAATTTCCTCTAAAAGTTACAAAGCACTTAATTTTGCATGAGTCTGTGTTACAATGCCAAAATATGCTCCAAAATTTATAGAAAAATAGACATAAAATCTACAAGCATTTTAAATGCTTATAAAATTTCTAAGAATTTGAAGATTTAAATAAAGCAATGTTAAAAATAACCTTACCATGAGCAGTAGGTATACAGAACACGCTATACTATCTTTGCAACTTTTCTGTAAATCTAAAATTACTCCAAATAAAAATTAAAAAACAAATATCCCCCCAAAAACAAAACAAACTTTAGCCAAGAGCTATTGGGTTGTCAGAAAAGTCATGACATAGAAAAATACGTCATGACTTTTCCGACAACCCAATATATGAAATTTAAGGCCATTATTGACTGACACAGTAAACACTGTAACTAATGGCCAAGTCAGTGGAAAATTAACCTGCCTAATTCATTAAATGCCTCTCTTTTGCTTTTAAAGCTGTTCTTTTCAAGTGTTAATTAAATAATACAAATCATTTCACTATTTCTTAAAATTAATAAATACCAAATAATTAAATACATGTTATTAATCCTCTTTTCTTAAAGCTAGTTCTCAGAGTTAATAAGAAAAAATTCACATAAAGATTAGAATAAAAAAACTAATGATTGTTCCAAAATATTATTTTTAAAAATCTTTCTACAACATAAAAGAATGTACTTACTATTATTTGAAACTAGAACCAAAATAACATAAACAGACATCCTTTTCAAATTTGTGTTTGAATCATTAGATAAGAACAAAATTAAGTCTTCAAACAATTCTGAAGTGCACAAGGTCTGCTGACAGTAAACTGAAATATAAAAATAAAATTTTAATTTCTATGCATAACACAAATCAGATCTCATTCACTGACATTTATTGGTCATATAACAAAATTTCTGACAAATTAATATGTGTTTAGTCAACTAGCAGACCAAAGAGGCAATATCTTAATCAGAAGTACAGTGCTTGATCTAGGTCCTAAAAAATGTATTGCAATCCCTTAGGATTTCCAATAAAAACCTAACTAAACAAAAAATTAAAATATGACCAAAAAATTAAGAGGATAAGTAACAAAGCATAGCCAGATAAAAATTTAAGAAAATTCAGAAACCTGCTTTAGAAAAGAGGGACAAATGATACTTCTGCTATATTTTAAGACTTTTCTAGAAATAAAAATATCTTTCCAAAAAGCAAAAATGATACCTATGTACACTAGGGAGTTTTTTTGTGATAAGTATGCAATAAACAGAATCTTATAAAGTAATTTAAACACAGGGATATATCGCTTCTCGGCCTTTTGGCTAAGATCAAGTGTAAACACAGGGATATAATCAGTATTTTATCCAGTGTCTAGAATCAGCTATTAAACTCCCTCTCAAAGGCAAGGACAATGTCTTATGTATCTTCAATGCCCAGCACACAGCTTGATTCTTAACAAGTGATGAAGGAAGATTTAATGGACGAAAACATAAGAATATAAAGTTGTTTTAAACCTCATGTCAGGTATACTACAAAAAAAATGTTTTTGCCAACATGAATTTGTATACCCAGACTATATTTATCCACATGCAAGATGGTTTTAAGTTATCTACATCTTTTGATTCACATACTTGAATACATAGACAATGAACAGAATAAAAAAACTAGTGATAGACCACATATGAAAATTCATTAAGTGATGATGACATCATCTCAAATCAATATGAAAAAGATCTCCTTTTTAATAAGAATGTTAGAGGAGCTGGATTGCCATATAAAAAAGATAAAACTGGAGCCATTCATCACACCATACCTCAGGAAAATTAAAAAAGGATAAAAAATGTAAAAGTAAAATACAAAACCATACAAGTACCAAAAGAAAATGTGGGTGGATTCCCCTTTATCCTGGGACTATGAAAAACTTTCCTCTGGCTCAAAATACAGAAATAAAAAGGGGAAAGAAGGATGAATTTTATTTCCATCAAAATAAATAACTTAAGCATGGTAGTAAAGACAAAGTGAAAAAAAATGTTTCCAACTAAAGTAAGAAGAATTGTGAAGGTTTTTGAAATGGAAAGAAATGATTACTGAATCCTCTCTAGGATATCCTTCTAGATTATCTGTGCCCTTTTACTGTCTTTGGGCTATTTTACAACTCTGTAAATTGTAGAAAACTGATAATAATGCAAGTTATTCTTGTCCATAGAAATACAAAACATTTTTGACAGTGGAATGCAATTAATTATTGCCCTGCAGATACTGACCAGTCATGTGCCTATTTATAAATCTATTTCAGCACTCTTAAATGCCTATATTGTTTTTTGCCATAGCCTTTGAAACAGCTGTAACATTTTACCAGTTCTTTCATTAGTTAATAAGTTAAATATAATCTCTGGCATGCATTAATTTAAACAAGTAGAATACCTGCATAAAACTATACAGACAGGTAAAAATTAATTTAATTTTAAAATTAATTTTTAGAAGTTTGTTAAAGTGTAACACAATGCTTGAAGGATAATAAAGTTTTCATATTTTACCATTTTGTTCTGCAACAGTTCCTAATGTATATAAGGCTGCTTCTTTTACCATGCTATGTTCACTTGATTTTGCAAGATTTTGTACAAACATCAAACCACCAACTTCCTGAAAATAAACACTAGCATTACCTGTAGGGAGTACAGATAAAACAAAATAGAAATGATATTTATTATGATTATTCTTTTAAGGCTAAAATAAATCACATAAACATAGAAACATAACATGCAGAACAACTAAGTGGAAGAAAAAGAATTAGGCATATTTCATTTATCATAATATTAAAGAACTAGAATCACAGATAAAAGTTCACTATCATGTCTTACTGTTTTGTTGACAAATTGAATGAATAGTGACCAAAGCTTCCTTTTGTGATAAAGGGTTGTCCATTTGATACTTCAGACACTCCAATAATAAATTCAGGTCAGTCTTCATTTCTAAAGAACAAAAACTTCATTATTTTAAACCAAATGTTTCCTTTCAAAAAGTAACCATTAAAATTTCACTTTCTAAATACATATCTTTGTAATAATAAGCTTTTTAAATAAGTATGCATTACTTTTATAATCTAACAATGAAGACATATAAAAGAAATGTTCCTTAAATAAAAGAACTTGAAATGAACTTAAAATTATTTGATTTTCCCCTTTCATGAAATATAGAAATAGAAAATCCAGGTATTATTTTCTTTATAAATAAAGCTACACTGGTTTAAATATCTGACATTTAGAAATGAACTGAATGAAAATGAAAATATAACATCTTAGAATTTGTGGGATGCTACTGAAGCAGTATTTAGAAGGAAATTTATTAACACTAAATGCCTATATTATAAAATAAAAAAGGTCTCAAGTTAATGCCTTCTGCTTCTACCTTAAGAAACTAGGAAAAAAGTAAATTAAACCCAAAGTAGTTGGAAGGAAAGAAATTATAAAGATCAAAACTGTAATCAGGGCTGGCCGAGTGGCTCAGCTGGTTAAGAGCTCGCTTGGGAGCGCCAGCTCGGAACAGCAGGGCCGCGGTTCAGATCCCACATGAGAGCCAGTGATGCTGCCCTCTACAGCTAAGATGGTGAACAACAGCTCAACCTGGAGCTGGGCTGCTGTAAGTCGCCGGTGATGGCATAGGCTGCAGCGGGGCTGCAGTGGGCTGCCATGAGCTACGTGAGTGGCTGGCAGCCAGCATGAGCGGCCGGCAGCCGGTATGAGCTGCCGGGAGCTGCTGTGTGGGGCCGACCAATGACCGGCGACCAATTGCCTCACCCAGGAAGAGCACAATGCTCATACCAACATGGGCCAGTGAAGCGATGTCCTCCACAACTAGACTGAAGAACAAAAACAGCAATTTGTCTACCTGTCTGTTCCCCTTCCCCAATTCCCCAATGCTGTTCCCCTCCCCCCAATTCCCAATAAAATCTTTAAAAAAAAACCAACTGTAATCAATGAGATAAAAAACAGAAAAACAATAGAGCGGGTTCTTTGAGAAGATCAATAAAACTGATAAACCTCTACACAAAACTGATCAGGAATAAAGAAACAAAGACACAAATTATTCAACATCAGAATGAGAGAGATGGCATCACCATAGATTTTATAGATATTCAAAAGATAATAATAATTATGTACAACTTAATATCTATAGATTCAATGATTTAGGTGAAATTACTTGAAATTACCAAAACTCACCTAAGAAGAAACAGATAACCTAAATAGTCCTATATCTAGTGGGTTGTCAGAAAAGTCATGACACATTTTTGCAACGAAAAACACAGAAAAAAATACGTCATGATTTTTCTGACAACCCAATATTAATATGAAAGAAGTTGAAATCATAAACACCTTCTATAAAGAAAACTCCAGGGTCAGATGGCTTCATTTGTAAATTCTTCCAAATATTTAAGGAAGAAATACTATCAATTCTACACAAACTGTGGACATTTGACACTGATGCTTTCAAGAGGTATTTCTCACAAATCATTATCCTAATGTCAACAGGCTATTATCTAAAAGACCCTAACACTTCTCAATACCTAAACTATGTCACGAGCTATGCTTGCTTACAGAAATTGAAAAGGATTCCTGACTGCAAAACAAAGAGGGCCGAGCCCGAAAGCCAAGATGGTGATGGGACATTTTGTGCAAAAAGGACCATGCCCCCTGAGTTCAACTGAAGAATAACTACACATCCCTAAAAAAGAATTTAATCAGTCCAAGCCACAGCCTATAAATACAGAAGGCTCCTTCCCAGTTGGGGAGAAGGTGCAAGAGGGCTCCATTTCTTGATCAAAAAATAAAGTTTCTGCTGTTCTTTACCAAACTCATTCTTGTTCTATTGGCTTCAACAAAACTGGGCAGAAGGACCTTGGTTTGGGCCCTCAAACCAGAGGGTTGGTAACACTAATGCTGATTTCCAAAATACCACATTACGTATTTGACTCTCCATTCACCTTTTTGAAATGCTTTTCTCAGTCTTTTTTTGAGGGCCCTCTTCCTCAGCCAAACCCATATGTGATGGTGTGCATTAAGGGGAACACTATTCCCCATTCTTTTCTTTTAATATTTCCTCTCAGGTTAATCTCCTCCATACCCATGGATTTAATTTCCATCTTTCTGAAGTAAACTCTGAAATCTGTGCCTCCAGGCATACTTTGATGATAGTTCTCTCAGGTTCCCCTCTTCTTGTATATACCTCCATTGAATCAGCTATCATACAGTATTCGAATTATCAGCATGCCTTTTCCCATTAGAATGTCAGTTTCCTAAAGTCAGTGTGAGAGGCACAGAGTAGATGCACGATAAATATTTATGCAAATTACTGAATTATTCATTTCCTGAATCCTGTCAAATAATCTGCAGTATATCACACACATATAAAACTAATTCCAGATATATGATCCATGAATTTCCTACCTTGTATCTTCTTTGTGTCCTCACCTTCCATGCTTGTCTGTATTCTTTTTCCTTATATTTCATCTATAAAATAAAGGTTATTTTCTCAATTTAATGTTTGAGAATTCCAGAATTATAAACGCAAAGGAGTAGAGAAAGAATAGGTTTTCTGAAACCAGAAAAACAGGGATTAAATCTATATCTTATTAAATGTGTGATACAGGGTTCTCTGAGGCTCAGTTTCCTCATTTGTAAAATTGGAAATTCCTACTTCATAGAGTTGTTAACAAGGATTAAATTTGAAAAAATACAAAAATGCATTTGGCATTCTTATGTACTACAGGCATTCAACATATTTTACTAATTAAACACACAAATGATTAGGTTAACTGAATCTACCTGATCCTCTTATGGTCGTACTTATTTTCTTTCCTGTAACTTTTCATCCCATCCTTTCAAATTAGGCACCCTTCCATGAATTAGAAGTTTAAAACACACACAGTCTTTAGAACTGCATTTCTCTTCACAAGCTAAGCTTAATACTAAAAATTTTTCTAACAACCCATGGTTTTTTCGACATAGTATTCCACTATTAAGCTTAAATCTTTGTTTGTATATCATGTTAGAAGAATTTTTAAAATAACTGGCAACTCCGATGTGGCCTCTTACATGCTTTATTTTAAAATGCTAAACTGATTTTTTAGAAAAATGTATCAGAGTCTAATTAACATCTTAGAGCAATAAATCAGGACTCACAGAACTCTAAAATTTTTATGTCTCCAACACAACTTGGTTAAGAGGAGATACAGAATTATCCTTTCTATTTTTCATTCTCTCTCAAATTGAAAATGATTCCCAAGCAAAAAAGTTAAATAATAAATGTGAGAATCTTTTACAAAGTAATATACAAATATATACTAATTTTTCCATTGTTAACCTAAATAGTCCATTAAAAAAAGGAATGGTTAGGTACATTATAATACATCTACAGGATACTGCTTACTCGAAATGTTTAATAACAAGAAAAAACGCTTCTGTTACAATCAAAAAGAACAAGACAAAATTTTACCTACAGCATTATCCCAATAAGTAGAGGCAAACATAAAATAAAACTAGAGGGAAAACAGCAATATAACACCTGTCTTGAGCTGGTGGTTCTAAGGTGTTTTATTCCACTGTTTTTTATTTTTCACAATTTTTATAATAAAAGTTTCTTATGTTCCATAAGTCCTATTGTGGGCCAAATGCTGTTCTATAAATCTGATAAATATCTTCTTAGTCATTACAACTCTAGAAGGGAGCTATAAGGATGAAGATAGATGAGGACAGGGTAAACAATTTGTCCAATTCAAACAGCTAGTAAGTGCCAGGGCTGGAAAGAAAACCAAGAAAATCTGAGGTCAGGCCCTACACTCTTGCCCTCTAGTTTTATATTGTCTCCCATATGTAATTATGTATTACATTTCAGCAAATGAGTTAAAATTTGGAAAAAGACTAAATTAAAAAGACATTAAATAAATGAACTACTGTATCATTTGTGGAAATTTTGCTTTGTGAGGGAGTTTGACTATTTCCTTAATTTTAATTAATCTATTCTGCTTTTTAATTTTATTTTTAAAGAGGGATATAATTTTTAAAATCTAAATGTCTTGAAATTGAAACTGACAACATACACTACCTTCTTTCTATTTCTTTGTCTTTCTTATGGTTCCTTTGCACAGTATTAGTAAATTTTGCCAAGTACCAAGTATTTGCATTAATTCAAGTCATCTATTCACTAGCTAGTGCTTAAAAACATCCACAGCAAAGGACAAGTTACAACTTTCAAAGGACTGATAATTATAAAACTATATTTGAAATTATAAAATAGTCTATTCCCAAGAACAAAAACATCTGCCCAATAAAGCAGATTTTCAGTAATTTAGTGAATAGATGCAAATTGTAATGAATAAAATTTCAAAATTTACTGTATTCTCAGAAAAAAAAGGGGGGGGGACTTTTCCAGATAACAGGAAGAAAACTCTCTCACAGGTTTCACTCAATCTACTACCAATAATAGTACTAACTCAAATTCAGAAAAAGCAGCTCCATATTATTCTCTTACCTGGGCTAGAAAATGCTGACATGAAACGCCTTTTAAAATCTAAATATCACCCCAAAATATCAGAAAGATAAAGGACATCTTTCAGTGTGAGGCTGGCAGGGCTGAAAATCCCACCACTAACTGCCATCACTAAGTTATTGACATTGGGTACCTACCTGGAACGCAAACATAGCGGATAATTCCCTCTAAAGTAGAAGAGGCAAGGGAGAAAGGGCCAATACACAAGTACGTGTACCATAAATTTTCTGTTACAATAGCTTAAGTCGTTTGAGAAGTCACTGAGGTCCAGAAAACAGGCTGAAGGTACCAAGAGGCTGTTCACTCTACAGCATTAACATTCCCAGACTCAGCAGATTGAAGTCCTCACCTCATCCCAGTTTGCACAGGTTAACGGTACCGGACCTTTCTAGGAGGGAAGGCTAAGCCCACCCCATTTCCTGGATTTCAGGTCATGCACTCTGAGGCCTGGCTCACCTAAAGAGCTGGAGGAACTCCTTTTGAAGAGCTTTAAGGGACCGAGGTGCTGGTTAAAGGCCCCACCACGAGCGATTCACCAGCAGCGGGCGGGCCCGAAAGTCAGCCCAGTTAACCATGCTCGCTCCATCAGGTGCTGTGGAACACACAGTCTGCCCTGGATTTGGGGAACCACCTCACCTGTGGTTCCCACCCCTTCCCTACTTCAGAATCATCTGGGAAGGCGGAGCCGGCGGGTTCTGAAGTACAAGCAGGTCGAAAACTGCCAGGCTCTAGACACCTGACTAAATGGTCCGTGCCAGTTCTTTGTCCCCCAAGCCGAGGTCTGCGGCCTCCTCAGAAGGGCCCCTTCCCGCCAGCTCAGCCTATCCCCTCACACGGGCTGGTTAGAAAGGGAACGGTGGGGCGTTCCGCAACCTAGCGACTGTGAGGGCCAATGGGGCCTACAGACCACAACCGCCTTCTACAGGAGGCAACGGACGGGCTCCGGGGCCGGGCGGAGCTGGGGAGGACCCGAACCCCCACACACATAGAGCAGGGGCTGTGGCCTTTACCCTCCAGTCGCCGCGTGGTGCGCTCCCGCCCTTTCTGCCTCGCCGCAAACCTACCACCACGCTGCAGCCCGTTTCTCACCGCACGGGCCAGGGTCACTTCCGTGGGGCGGAACTTCCGGAAGCCCCGCCCCGCCCCCACGCGGAGTCTCTCGGGAGCAGGGCTTAGCAAGCGTGTAGAAGCGGCATTTTTAAGTGATGGAAAGTCACAACTTGAAGGGGGAGAGCCTCTCATCTCACCGCCTCGGCTTTTAGGGCTTCCTTTAATCACAGGGACGTTCGCCCAGTTAGTTGGGCGGACTCCGAATGCTGATGAGGCTGGCTCTAAGACCAAGGCCTCAAAAGTCAGGTAGGGCACATGTGCGCAGGCTTGATGGGGGAAGCCATCAGAACCTTGAGCCCGGCCCCACATTGCTCTCCCAACCTCACCTATGCGTTGCATCCTGTTGTTATTCTCGGATAAAACGAATACATCTGAAATATTTGCTTTTAAAATTCTATTAGTTTTAACAAATAGTTATGGTCCTAAAATGAACGTAGCTAAAATGTGCACACATATTAAATTCATTAATACTGTAAGAAAAAATACTTTAAGCTATTTCTAATGAAACATTAGATTTCTATAAGTAACTTTGAAATAGCAAGCCAAAAATAATGAACTCAATCAGAAATGGATAGCTTTTATTCTCTGGGAAAATGACTGCTTCCTTCACCCTCACCCACTCCCAAAGAAAAGACTACATTATTACAAATGAGAAAAATGTTTATTGAGCAAACAATTTAACAGTTATCCCTTAGCAGAATTTTCCAAATTAGAGCACAAACAGGCAATTACAGTTTCAATTATTAACACTACCTAGGGTGCTTGTTCTACAACTGAAAAGTTGCTGAAGTTTGTGACATGCCACTATAAATGTAAGTATTATTAAAAATTACAAATTGTTTGGTGATTATTTTGATAACCTCTTGAGCAGCAGCTCCTGCAAGGAAAATGAAAAGCAAATCTTTGAAAAAGGTAAATTAAGTTATATAAAAAAACTCAATTCTTTAAAGAAAACCTTTCCTTTTCCCAAAAGTAAAGGTGTTTAAAAACCATCCAAAACAGATGTCATATCAAATGTAAAATATCTGAGTCATATCAAATAAAAGATCACAATTTTTTATAAATATGCTATTATATTAAAGGAAATAAAAGTTTTGTTTTATACATTGACACTTTGGGATATTATGCCACAGTTTAAAAGAATAAAGTATCTTTAATTATGGTGGTTTAGATTATCAAAGATATATTAAGTAAAAAAAAGTCAAAACGGTAGTATTATTGATTACATTTTAAAGAATACATATAGGCAGAAAAGATTCTCAAAGGACACCCTTCTTTTGCATTGGAATTTTACTTTGTGCCTGCTTTACTTTTATAATAAAAATAAAGGTACATTTGTTCTAAATACATTTGTAATTTGGAATTTCTATTAAATACTGCCAGACTGCTGTAACCACGCAAAACAAAAACCAGAAAAAAAACACAAAAAATTACCAAGAAAAAAAATTCCTCATCTTTTATAAATAATCCGAAGCTTCATCTTTCACAAACATTCATTGATTTAATAAAATGTGAGACTCTACTATGTACCAGATACTTTTCTAGGTTCTAGGGATACAGTAGGGAACAAAAGACAAAAATCCTTGCCCTCACGCATCTTACTTTTAGTAGTGAGGCAGAGATCATTTACAAACAAGTAAAATTTAGAGTATGTCAAATGACTCTAAGTGATAAGGAGAAAAAGCAAGAAAGGAGGATATGCGTACACGAGGAGGGACTCAGTTTTAAATCAGGCAGTTGGAGATGGACTCACAGAGAAGATAACATTTAAACAAAGACCTGAAAGAAGTGAGGGAATAATAATGGCATTGTGCTACTTAATATATAACATCCTGCTTCATTGACCTCTCTGGTTAAAACAAGTAAGAAAACAAAACTTCATAACTGTACTATATAACAGGTGACAGTCTTCTCATCTTTGGAACTCACCCCCTAAGAATGCAGCAATGGTATGTGGCTCAGCAGCTCCGTATCGGCAACTACAGGAAAAGATGGGAGACATGAAGTTAGACTAGCTTATGACAGGTACAGGTATTGTCTCTTACATGTCCTAAAAAATACTCACAATTCGTGGACATAATCATCTTTCACCATTACAGACAGTCCATATTCCTGAAGGAAGCCAGTGAGGCAAGATTTCAACTTTCCTATATCTTCTTCAACTTGATAGTTAGATACCCCTAAAAATATATATGTAAATTAACTTTGATTAAAATAAATGTGATTCAAAACAAAATGAATGGCTACCTTTTATTTAATCAGTTTCAGCCGTTCTAGTCACAACAGTAATGTGAAACTGAAGAACAAAAATAACACAAAGAGACCAATATTTGCAACTATCACAAACCTGTAACAATCAAAAATTAAAATTCGAGTTTGATAAGTCTGCTTTGTTCACAGCTCCATACTAGTATCTTGAAGAGTATCTGGCACATAGTTGGTGCTCAATACTTTGATAGATTTGGATGAGTGAGAAAGTAATGTCCTATTTATACCCTTTATAAAAATGATGGTATTTATTATCCTTTTCTAGGATATTAAATGACACTGAGGACATAGAACTATGATAACAGAGGGCCGGCCGAGTGGCTCAGTTGGTTAAGAGCTCACTCAAGAGTGTGAGCTCTGAGCAACAGGGTCACCAGTTCAATTCTCGGCTCGAGCTGAGCTGCCGCTGAGCTGCCAACAGGTAGCAGGATGGCTCAGCTAAAAAACAAAAAACTATAATAACAGATAACATTTATTGAGCATTAACAGATGCTGGATACTGTTCTAAGCACCACATAAATTGATTTATTTAAACCTCACAACCACCCTATGATGACGGTACTATTATCCCCATTTTTCAGATGAGAAAGCTGAGGTACAGAGTAAGTTATTTGCCTGAGTTACTTGGCTTATAAATAGCAAAACTGGGATACAAGCCTAGGTAGTTCTTTTTTTTGTTGTTGTTTTTTTTTGTTTTTTTTTATTGGGGAATTGGGGGGATGGGAACAATGCTGGGGAATTGGGGGAAGGGGAACAGACAAGTTGCTATCGTTTTGTTCTTCAGTCTAGTTGTGGAGGACGTTGCTTCACTGGCCCAAGTTGGCACCATCATTGCGCTCTTCCCTGGCGAGGCAGATCAGTCGCCGGCTTCTGGACGGCCGCTCACTGCGGCTGCTGGCCGCTCACGCTGGCTGCTGGCCACACACGGTAGCCCATGGCAATCCACTGCCACAGGGACTGCAGCCCACGCCGTCGCCGGCGACTCACAGCAGCCCAGCTCCAGGTTGAGCTGTTGTTCAGCATCTTAGCTGTGGAGGGCAGTGTCACTGGCCCTCATATGTGGGACCCGAACCGGGGCCCTCTGGCATCCCAAGCGAGTTCTTAACCATCGCGCTACTCGGCCGGCCCCAAGCCTAGGTAGTTCTTAATGATTAAACTATAATGTCTCCAAAGGTAAGCTATCATTATTATTACTACTAGAAGGAAACTATAATTGCCATAATATTCAGGTATTATAAAAAACATCAATATTTTTTAACCACTCTGATTTAAAAACTACCATCAATACTCTTCCTCATAATAGTAATACCTACGCTTACTGAATACTTAACAAGGTGCTAGGCAGTGTGTTTATGTGATTTTCATACATCACATATCTAATCCTAACAGTCTAATAGAGTAGATAATATTATTGCCATTCCATAAATGAGAGAACTGAGACTTGGAGGGAAATAGTGACTCACCCAAGGTCAAGAGACAATAAGTGATAGAGCTTGGATCTGAACCTAGTTTCAAAACCTGTGCCCTATATGGTAGCTACTCTCCCAAGATGGCTCCCCAATGAACACCCTTTCATGCCCTCATGTAGTCCCCCTTCCATTCTTAATCTAAGCTGGCCTTGTGAAGCCAATAGAACACAATATAAGTGATGCTGTGTGACTTCTAAGACTAAGTCATAAAAAACATTGTACCTTCCACCTCAGTCTTTTGCAATGTTAACTCTGGGGAAGCCAGCTACCATGTTAAGAAGTCTATCCTAGACTGCAGTGCTAAAAGGAAGCCCCAGCTAGCCATGTGGTACCAGATGCCTGACCAGCCACCAGCAGTTCCAGCTATCCTGACTAAACTGCCAGACACTTGAGTGAAAATATCTTCTTGAATATCTAATTCAGTCAAGCCTTCAGAACAATTCCAGTCCGAAGCATCATGCATCTCTGTGAGATCCTCTCTCCCCACTGAAATCTGCCTGAGCCTAGCCAATTGACATAATCATCAGATAATAATTTATTGTTTTAAACTACTAAGTTTGGGGATGGTTTATCATGCAATAGATAACCAAAAATACATTCTAATCAAACAATACAAATAAAGCAATGCATATTTAATGTTTATTCATTTTCTTTCTTCTGGTAAGCTTGCTCTTAAGACTATAACTCAGTGGGCATTAGACATCAGGTGGGGCAACAGGTTTTGATACACCTAGAATATATCCTGCACAATTAAAATTATCATCCTAATAAAAATATTCTGCGCACCTGTAGATCTTTGAGATTATGCCAATTCCCCAATTACTACATTTATGGATAACAAAAATTAGAACTGAGCAAAGGAATCTCTACATCTTGAGTTCAGAAGTCACTGGAATACTTCTTGTGGCTTTTCATTTCCACTAAATTAAACTCAGTGTGAGTCTTAGAAGTAAACTATGGAAACTAACAGGAAAAATGTTTTCTATATTCATTCAACCAACATTCCTCTGTTAACAGTTTAGAATCAAATACTATTTGCAAATAGTTACACTTACAAAACAAATGGTAGTTCCTCAGTGAGATGAACTAGATATAAACCGTTTATAATGTAAAATTCAAAGACCAATTATAAACACCCAAGAATGCTTTAATATTTAATTAAAGTGTTTATTCAAGATTTTATTATATTTGATAATTCGATTGCTATTCTTACCTGGATATCTACC